TGACGGCTTAACAATCTGTGATGTCTATCGTTCGCCAGTCTTAGGTCTTTTTGTTCTTGTGATTGATTACGTCGATAACGCCGTTGTCGCTCTCTGTTACTATTTCGAGTTTTAATTAATGATTTTGTTTTTTTTATGGTTTCATTTTTTGACAAAACATTGTAACGTGTACGTAAACGATAATCATTTTTTTGATTCCGCATTCTGTTTCTATACGCTTCAGGATCATTTTCTTTTTGTCTTTGTCGAGATTTATGCATTCTTCGAGCATGTCCGATAAGAAATGTATCTTGTATTGTTGATTTCATTTTAAAAAAATTGATAAAAGAAAAAAAATTATGATTCAGAATAAAATGTCTTCTGACTAAACGCGCTACAATTATATAATTCAAAAAAATTGTTTATCTAACAAAATTATCAATAATATTACTGTAATTAAATATTCATATTTTTAACATAATAAAACATTAATTAAAATTATTTGAAAACTTTAAATATAAGAAGATGGACTGAATGATATTATAATAAAATTAACAAAATTCCTGATAATGGCTCGAAAACGATCTGACAATAAAAAATGGAAATCAAGACCATCTCGTAAGAAAACTCAAGCTAATCGAAACCGTAAACCATGTAAAATCCATAAGTATAACTCAAAATTATCTAGTCCAACAAAACCATCTCGACAAAGAAGAAAAGCGAACAGTAGTCAAGAAGTCTCATCAGCTTCATTAGTAAATCTTGATGCAAACATAACTGAAGAAGTTTTTGACACACGGATAATACACAATTTTCTCAGTGAAAGGTACAATAGCCACATTTATCATTTATGTTTTGCACTACAGACCTCTTTCATAGATATTTATCTGAAATTCGACAACCGTGGTATTCTTGTAAATGTTGTACTTGCGAACATCCATTATGTAACATGCGAACAGCAAAGGAAGAACATGAAAAATATCATGATTGTTTTGTTGGTGATACAATTTGTTCATCTTGTTATGATTTTATTCCAAAAGATCATATACCTTTTTGTCCACATTCTCGTTTTCGAAATATTATGGAAATTCCTTCAACACCAATGTGTTTAAAATTAGGCTTTCTCGAACAGAGAGCTATAGCACTTATGCATTGTTATATTAGTATATTAATCATTCGTGGTCATCAATCAGCAATGAAAGGACAAGTAGTACATTGTCAAGTTGATGTTACTGATAATATAGGCGATCTTTTACCATTGCCAAAATGCTATGAATTTATGGCAGTTATTCAACAGAAACCGATGAATGAAAATGGTGAAATAAAATCAACAGTTAGATATTCAGTTAGTGCCATTCAAATTCTTCGTGCCATTCAATATCTTATCCAACATCACATCGGATATATGAACAAACAAGTTCTTTCTTTAGAAAAAATTGAAGAGATGTTTCAATGTCGAAAAGAAGATATTGCTCCGATTCGAATTATTGATTCATATGCCTATAATAATTCTACAACATCTGCTCCGATTATTCTTGATGTTGATGAAGCTGTTTTTGGTCCTAGGTAAAGGATGATTTATTAAGATTTTCTAGTTATAAACTTTAAATATTTCAAAAGTCGTACTCTCAAACCAGGTGAAGATCCTATTTGGACAATTCAGCCTGGAATGGAAGAGTGTACTTTTCCATGGATTTATCCAACTGGCGAAGGAGGAGAACTTCATGCTAAACGACCTATTCCAGTCAGACTTCGTGATTATTGTAAACTTCGATTAATGTGTGCTGACAGAAGATGGCAAGCAGACACAATTTGGACATTTCGAGCGATGAATTTGATTCAAAGAGATGATCTTTGTACAGCTGTAAATTACCATGCAAAAAAACAATTCAACAAAGATCGTTTGTGCTATAACATATATCCATGTAAGTGTAGCAATATACTTACTTATGTATAATTTAGATCAACAAGAATCTATTGTCCAAACCTATAGTAGATAATCTGTTGATAAAAAAAAATTAAATATTTATTCATTTGTGAAGACAAGTCATTAATTATATCCGTCAATGAAAGCATAAAATCTAGAAATGAGAATTCTCCTGTGTCTGTTTGTCTATAATACGTATATGGGCGATTGATATCATACAAATGTCCAGGCTGTACAGATATGATACAAAGGAGCATTATATAAAGAAGCAATACAAAGGACCAGTCATCGAATTGCTGCTATAAAGTACCGCACACTAAGATATAGTCCGAATACCATGAATGTACAGACCTGAAACGAATTTTTCTCGCTAATAAGTTTTATGATGTATTCATAGAAGTGCAAATCTTATGTTACAAACAATTGAGATAGCTTTTCATAAAAAAGAAATTTCGAAATTTTATCTCCACAATAGTTACGAGTCAACTTCTTTTGTCATTATTATTATAGCATTTAGGCATCGCTTTACTTAAGTATCATTATTTTTATATGTAGTTCTATATAAATATGCTCTCTGTGAATCTAGAGCCAAGTAAATCGATTCTAGATTAGCGTTCCATGTACACAATGTGATAAAAGAAAGTTTGAAAGTGTAAAATATGATACTACATTTTAGCTATTGGAAAAGCTGTACGAGGTACAGCTGCATTCTGGTCGGTCCCTAGAAAAATTCTACGTTCAATGTATGCAACATTATCCAAACCTAATATTTTTTTGAGTATCAACTTACAAGATGATGTAGAATTTTTGACACATATTGATCCAAGTCGATTTGGTAATGTGAATGATCCAAACTATGATGCGATTGACTCTTTACCTGATGATGATTATTTGCAACTTGTTAACGAAAATAGTGCACTAGTAGCACGAATGTGTCATCGCCGAATGCTTGCATTTGAAAAATTTATTAGTGATAAGAAACATCCTTTTTTCATTGATTATATCGTTACAAATTATTTCTTCAAAATTGAATTCCAACGTGGTGGTCTTCCTCATCTCCATACATTACTTTGGCTTGACAACTTTCCTTCTATTGATACATTAGAAGGACGAGAAAGTGTTATTAAATTTATCGATAAATTTCTGACTACATGCTTACCAGATAAACAAGTAGATCCCGAAGGTCATTTACTTGTAAAAAGATATCAATGGCACATTCACACATTTACCTGTTCCAAAGGCTAGTAAATTGTTTTGAAAAAATAATCAATTAATAGTATAGTCTTTAAGGTAGTAGTAAAGTTCGTATACGTCGAGGACGCAAATTTAATGATGAAGAAATCGGAAAAAATATTAAAGAATCTCAAATAAAAGATATCAATAAAAATTATTTACATGAAAATGAAATATATGAACAAGTTGATCCAAATGATGATCCTGATCTTTTACAATTAGCAAAAGAAAAAAAGGAATTTTTTGAACGGTTGGGATGTCGTTTTGGAAGCCCTTTTGAATTGGCTAATGAAACACATTTTCGAACATACAAAGAAGCTCGCATATTGACAAGGGATGATCGAGATATTATTGTAAAAAGATTAAGTGAAGAAGTGAGTTTAATTGATAAAATTTCTTTATTTTGACTATTGCTTCATTTACATTTTTTACTTATAATTTTCTCAAAAACCAATCGTAGTCTAGACGAATAATTCCCTACAACCTACACTTTTTGAAAACATTTCGTTGCAATCATGATATTCAAGTTATTACCGATCCATGGGCATCTGCAGAATATTTATTTTCTTATGTATCAAAAGATGCCCATATGGAAAAAAATTTAGTGTATCAAATGTCAAATTGTACTTGTTCGAGTCTTGCGGAAACCAAAGCTGTTCTACTAAAAACAGGTAATGCAATACTGTCTCATCGTCAAGTTGGTAAAGTTGAAGCATCATGGACAGTACTAGGTAAAAGAATATATCAAAACTAAAATTTTCTACTAGGTGTAAATTATAGGCATTCCTTTATATCATTCATCAATGAGATGTAAAAGTTTATATATTTCTTTACCATGGGAAGAAGAAAGAATACTCAAACGTGGACGAACTCACGTAACCAGTGCAGATGATTTTGTTGAATCACTTACACATCGATATGTGAAACGACCATTTACTCCTGCTGTAATTGATCATATAACTCTGTTTGAATTTTTAACTTGGTTTGATTATGATCGATCGTCTTCAATGGAATTACAAGAAATTTTGCACGAACCACTCATTGAAAATCCTCTTTGGCGTACTGAATTTAATCAACCACCATTACTTAAAACTTCGACTTTTCTTCCTCGGATCATTTTATCATGTGGTTCAGTATTGATTCAACACAAAGAACCAGCATGTATTAGTTTTACTTGTCGTTATGATGATTCGATGTTGGCTATGTATTCAATGCTTTCTATTGGAATACCATATCGAGACCCAATTGAACAATTTTTGGGTGGTAAATTAGGTATTTTCTATAAACGAATGAATATATTTGTATAGAATCTTATGCATTGAATGTTTAGAAAATGATCTGAACGCTATCCATCAATTATTGCTGAAAAGTAAACGTGATATATTACAACGATTTTCTACATTACCTGGAGCCTACAAAATACAAATGATCAATGCAGTTGAACATTTATGTGACTTAAATGCTCATGATTTTGTTATTAAACCAAGAACGTCATTTATATTTACAACTGAAGATGAAGAAGACGAAGACAATGAAACAATCAACAATATAGAACAAACGAATGATAGTAACATTACCAACAGTATTAAAGATTCCTATAAACGTCCTTTCTCTGAAAATATTGATGAAGATAACGAAGAACTCTTGCATGCTAATAAAGATATGAGAATCGATTGCCCTTCCAGTCGTACTGAAGAATTGTTATTATCAGCCAATACACAACAGCTTTTTTTGGCAAATTTTTTCAGACAATATCTTGTAGCATTAATCCGATATGAAGATAGTCGATATCGCTCTCAACAAATCTCAAAACCGTTACCTTTTCATATAATTGTTAATGGTTTGGCTGGCTCTGGAAAATCCTATGTTATCTCTATTATTGAACAGATGTTAACCGATTTTTGTATTAGTGAATCAGCTACTCGAAATCGTCCACGTAGAGCAAAAGGATTACTTAAGATGGCTCATACTGGCAAAGCTGCTTTAAATATTCATGGTTGGACTATCCATACTGCTCTAGGCATGGTAATTGTTAAATTGTTTTCATATTCTAAATATTGATATCATTGTCAATTAGCGTCCCGACAACACATCTACACCGAATAATGCTCCATCCTTTAAAATACATTCGATTCGAAAAAGACTTGGTGATTTAATATTAATAATCATCGATGAAATTTCACTCGTCTCCTACAATCTATTTCAAAAAGTAAACAAGCGACTAAATCAAATATTTGAAGTAGCCGACAAAAGTGACGTCTATTTTGGAAACATTCCAGTTTTATTATTTGGCGACTTAGCTCAATGTGAACCAGTTGCTGCCAAACAAATATTTTGGCGACCTTCCGGTGAAACTTTTTCACTTTGGTCCGATTTATTCAGACCAATCAACTTCAATATCAACATGCGACAAGGTGAAGATAGACAATTCTTCGATATTCTGTGTCGAATGAGATTAGGTATACCATTATTTACTGATAATATACATGATAGTAAAGTTTTTTCAGGTGAATACAATGAAGACGATGAAATGATAATAAAATGTAGAAGTATTCGAAAAGGAGATAACCCACTGCACTATAAAGAACGATTATCAGAATTACAGTCAACAGCATTTGAAAATGCTATATATGCATTCAGTGTAAGAACTAAAACAAATGAGAGAAACTCTATAAAACTTAGAGAAACAGCAATGAAACTGAAAAACCCAATATGGATTATTCAATCCATTGATGTTCGTTGAGAATTATAAAAAAATTGCTAATGCTTATTAATACTTACCTTTAGAAAGTTGGCATGGCTCGATCATTATTTTTTAGCCCAGTACAAGCAAGTAACAAAGAATGCAAAATTAATTTAAAACCTTCTGATGACGAAAACGAGTGTGCATCTATGTTTCAGCAATTACCAATATGTATTGGCGCACGTGTAATATGTCGACGTAATATTGATTTTGATGGAGAAATGGTGAACGGAACCGAAGCGACCATAAAAGATATAATATGGGATAAACAAGATGACATTGTCTTACCAATGTCAAACCGATGTGTTTTCCCAAATTCAAATCGAGCACTAACTGTGAAATTACCAAAATATATTGAACTCGGTAACAAAAAGAGAAAATACGACTCAACATAATCTTTTTTTTCTATACTAGAATTAGATAATAGTTCTATATATAAAATGACTCCAGAAGAAGTTAGTTTCAAAGATCAAAATGGAATATGGATGACAAGAAAACAATATCCACTCAGTTTAGGCTATGCAATAACAGTTCACCGATCCCAATGCATGACTTATAATAAGCTAGTTGTCGATTTAACTGGTATAAACTGGAAACCTGGTATGTTTTATACAATCTTGAGTCGTACACGAAGATTGACTGATATCATTATTTTGGGATATGACCGTAAATCATTCAAGGTAGCAAAATTTTGTTATAAAATACTCTTTATCATGTCTTAGTATACTAGGTATCCAAACCAGCACTGAACGAAATGTCTCGTTTAAACAAAATCGAAGAACAATATGCGATCAAAATTGAGCACTACTTGAAAACTGAGGTAGTTAGTATTGTTGTTCATATGTATACATTTTTATAGATTAATATAGAGATACATAGAGTGGTGTCTATCTAATTCACCTAATTCTGAGCAAACATCAGCAAGAATATCAAATACAAATAATGAACTAATATCAAATACAAATAATGAATTAATATCAAATACAAATAATGAATTAATATCAAATACAAATAATCAATCAATATCAAATTGCATCAATACAAAACAAATACAATTACAATGCATGTTACCAGCCACAACTTATTCAGTAACAAAACCCGAACATGTTATCATTTGTGAGCAACACCAAGAACACTTTTGCGGACGACATGCTCTACGTGCACTCTCACAAAGACTTGATTTATTTACTGATAAGTATTTATTTGATATCGCTGAAGATATAGCAGTTACCGACCAAATACATCGAAATGGACAACCATTATAACTTACTGATTACTATTACAAAAACACGGGGGATTATAATATTGAAGTGCTACAACTTGCTCTTCAGAATACATTAAATGTGCAGCTTTTTCGAATCGATAAGTTAGAAGACAGTAGCTATGCTATTCGGAATCTTATTTTATCAAATGTTGAACATATTCAAGCATTTCTCATTCAACAAGACTATCATTATTATTGTCTTCGTAGTTTTCGATCTAGTAAAGATTATTTCTTTAAAATTGATTCTAAACATTCAACGTGCCATGAACCTATTCGTCGTGAACGGTTATTCGAATATCTTACAGAACTTATTAAGTCAAATTGCGCTATCTTTATCATCATGCAAGATACAGTACAAAATATTAATCAACAAATTACTATTGATAATATTCAAAAAGCATTATGGCCTTTACCCGATACTCCTGCTGATTTTGAACTTTTGCTCGGACTTAATCAATTAGATATATGATATAGCAGCAACGAAAATTAACCAGTATAATTCTCAAAAATAAAATAACAACAAATAAATATTGCAATCTAAATTTCATGATAAATTTATTATTCAAAGCAAAATCTATGGATGTTTGTACACATATGTTAACCTCTTTTTTAATTGTACTCAAAATTCTATTTATCATTCTAGAAGTATACATAGACAAGTTTTATTGAGCTTATTATTTTTCTTCTTTAATAAACTTCATCCATAGAAGTATAATTTTCCCGTGCACAAAAAGAAACGTCGAATGCAAAGACTTCCAATTCAAATTAAAATTATCCATAAAGACATAATTTGCTGCTTTAAACGCTTTTTCCTATTGAAATACATTCTTCATTTTATTTGCTCTATTATTCTTATAATCAAACTGTTTTCATTATTTCCTCATTAAAACACTTCTTAAATATATATAATTACATCTAACTCATTAGTAATCTTGTATATGTTGTACGTCTAAAGTTATACCAATATCTTAGTTATTTTCTCAAATAAACATTAATAATCAAATGTCGAAAACAACATCTCCACGTCACTAAACCAAAATTATACTTTTCTTATTGAATAACTTTTTACATCGTTGATATTTATAATACTAGGATAAACAAAAAAAGAAAAAGCCATTTCACTAACTGTATGTACTATTAAAAAAAAACATTGCACTATTCTTTATGAATCTTTTTTTTTCAACTTCATTTGACTGTTCTTGTTTTGAATTCTTTACGTTATAAAAATATTGCAGAATGAAACGAGCAATTAATATTGTTAAAAGCGACAATATTTCGAATATACAAGCCAGTTCAGTACTTGAAGGTATCATTGTTCTGATCACTGATATTTCCAATTTACAACTTGACACCAAAGGAAAATTTTGGACTGCTTTCTTATCTGACAAAAATCAGGAAATCCATTGAATAACAAAATATTTATCATTAACAGGAACATGCATGCTTCGTACGAAACCGATTGAAGAGTTTAACAATCAATCTGGTCTCAACTTAAACAAGTTGAAAAATAATGGTGAAAATGCATATGTTGTTACATCTGCAATCATAGCTACACCAATAAATCTATGACTCAAACCTTTATGTATTCAACATACAACAATAAAAAACATTCAATCTACGTCAAATGAAGAATATGTAACATTTTCATGTAAAATTATAGACGTTGGCTCAGTAAGCCTTAAAAAAAACCAGTTTCTTATAAAATATTTTCTTTTTCAGGAGGAAATTGTATTGTTTAATAATGCACATAAAACAATTCAAAAGTTAAAAAAAGCTGTTGTAGTAGCTGATAAAACTGATTGCATCAAATTAAATCTTTGGGAGAATAATTTTACATTTATAGAAAAGGATCAATGTTACTTGATTAAATTAGCAAAAGTAAAAATATTTAATGATGAAACATCTGTAACAACGACAACACATACAACGTGAGGTTCTCTGTTATTTGTCTTGATTTTTCTTTATTTTTTAAACAGCTTCCAAACTGAGAAATATCTTTTAACATATATTTCTAACAAAATCTGTAAAAATATTTCTAGATTTGAATCTATCGAAAAGATCGTTGATGTTGTCTCTTCTGATTTTATTAACATCACACAAGAATCATTAATAGCAGCTACAATAACATCAATCGGATTAATAGAGCAGTCTTGTCTTTGTCCAAAATCTTATTCAAGTGATGTTGAGTATAACGACAAGACTATTAAGCGTATAATATGTAAATCAAAATCATTGTATTTACAAGACTCAATTCAACAAAACCAAATAAAACTTAATATAACCGATATTAATCATAATATATTTGAGTTCATTATTGAAAGATCAAAAATTCAAGTTTTCTTACAAGAATCTAATCATAAACAACTTCGTCAAAACCATTTGCTGAAAGATCAAGATATATTACTTGCCTTATCTTCAATCAACGTTTTTATTAATTTTAATCCAAAAACTATGCATATAAATACCATTGCATTAAAAAATATCTAGAATAACTAAATAAATTTTATCAAACATGAATAAAACTAAGCATTTCTAAATTCCTAACACTTTAAAAATAATTCATCGCTTTTTCTATCTTCGAGTTCTACCATTTTTTCTATCTAGATATTTATGCTGCTTCAAGTATCCATTCTACATTTTCGGTGAATCTGACCATTCATATAGATTCTTATATTTTCTTTCATAGATAAATATTTAGCTTCATGACTATCTCAAAACATCCTAAACGAGTCAACAATTTCATACCTTGTACGCTACTTCATATAAACTTTAAATCAATAGTATCACCATACTCATTCATATCGGATTCAGACACACGATGATTTCTGTTTCTTTATCATCGAACTATTACATATAATTGTTCAATCAAATTAACTGTAGTATCCTCATAAAACAAAAACTAGGATTAAAACTGACCAAATCAAACCTCACATTTTTGTCTATTTTTTTTTCTGAGAAAAATTTTTTCATTTTCTAACAAATACATTGATAATTCGGCTTTCAATAATTATCAGATACTAATAATTCAGCCAATACTTTCTTTATCGTTCAATATCTTACTATTTTTATGGTTCATACTTAATCTATTAATATCAACTAAAAAAAAATTATTTAAAACACTGCCTTATTCATGCAATAAAACAAAAATAACCCGCTGTTTTTAAATTCTAATTTTGTTCATTTTAATTTCACTTGATTTTTTCTTACTTTAACTCTTCTTGATTTTTTCACAAAATTTTCCCATGAAACGAACATCTAATATGATTCAAAATACGAATAAGTCGAATCCAAAACCGAACGTAACACTCGAAGGTATAATAGTGGCAGTATCAGATATTTCTGATAATCAAACTGAGAAGAAAGGCAAATATTGGACAGCATTACTTTGTGATATAAATCAAAATATCAATCGAATATCAAAATACTTGTCATCAAAAACAAATTGTTCCCTTCATGTAAAAATGATCGAACATTTGAATAATCAACATGGCGTTCGACTCAATAAATTAAAGCATAATGGTGATAATACATATTTTGCAACAATTGAAACCATTGCAACACCAACACTCTTAACATTAACACCTTTATGTACTAAAACCAGTACGATTAAAAATATCGAATCCATGTCAGATGGTGAACATGTATCATTTGCATGTAAAATAATCGATATTGGTTCTGTAAGAATTTTGAAAGTAATTTACTACTTATGTTACTCTTTCTTATTGAGGACGAGACTGTTTTATTTAATAATGGACTAAAACGTGTACAAAAATTGAAAAGAACTACATTGGTAGCTGATAAAACTGATTCCATAATCATGAATATTTGGGAAAGTCAATTTAGTATGATAAAGAAGGATCTATCCTATTTAATTAAATTAGTAAAAGTCAAAATTTTCAATGATAATATTTCGATAACAACAACAACACACACAACGTGAGTTTTCTTCTATTTGTTTCTATGATACTCTGTTGTGGTAATGTTGAAAAAAAAAGTTCTAAATTTCTTTCTAATATTATATATTAATATCTAATTATACATTAAAACATTTACTACATCGTCTAGTTTTGAACCAATTGAAGACATCGGTAACACCAATATATCAGATTCTATTCAGATTTTACATGAAAGAGCAATAACCGGTGTCATTACATCGATCGGATTAGTACAACAAGCTTGTACATGTCCGAAATGTTACTCTACTGATGTTGAATGTAACGATAAAACTATTAAATGTATGACGTGTCAATCAAGATCATTATATTCAAATGATTCTGTTAAACTAAATGAGGTCAAACTTAACATCATGACTGATGATAAAAATATATTTGAACTTATTGTCAACACATCAAAAGTTCAAGCGTTATTAGAACAAAGCAACCATCAAGATCTTTGTCAAAGCGACTTAGTTGAACAGGAAGATGTTTTACTTGCCTTATCGTCGATAAATGTTTTCGTTCATTTTAATCCAAAAAATATGTACATAAATAATATATTATTGAATAATATCGAAAATAACTAAAATAAAATCTTACAAAATAAACTTTAAATGAAGAGCTTAAAAGAAATTTGTCATTTTAAAAATAATAACTATATTCTTCTTGTTTTTTAACTTCAATTGCTATATAGTCCTAAAAAAATCTATAAACTCTGCTTGTTTATATAAATTACGAATTATTACATTCACAATATAGACTCGTATAATATGCAAATATATCCAAATATATTCCCTTATAATTATAAATAATTAACTTACCTATCATATAAATTTATCATTTCCATCCTAAGAAAATATACAAATTAGCATCTCCTATATTTTTGTTCATATTTCAATAAAAAAATATTGGCAATTCTAACAGAATTAAATATCTTATATCGTACTGTTCACATCAAATAAAATTCTAAATTTCTTCTATATTAATGTTTTGTTCTTTAAAAATTCCGAAAAAATAGCTTCTACTCGAATAAATGATATCATTTTATATACATTATTTTCCTACAACTTTGATATAAACCTATCTCATAAAAAACAAGTAGGGTTCATCGACATGGAAAGTCGATTCACTGTCCGGAAGACTGCCGAAATGATGATATAGATATAGTTGGATTTATATGTTAAGATGAATTTGTAGAATGATGAATCTAAGAAAAAGTGAAAATATTTGAAAGATGCTAAAGATTATAGTTTCAATACATTGAAACAATTGATATATCAGGTAAATAGATTTTTTGTGTATAATAAAATATATGCTTCTACTAATAAAAACAAAACTTTTTCAAGTAAGACAAATTTATGTTACACAGATTATATTATTTGTTCCATAAAAGTAATAATTGTAGAAAAACGTTGAGGAATGGTTCGCTCATACAATTTTTATTTTCGTTAATTTAATATTATTTCCTAATGACATTTTTACATTTGGTATAGAACCTTAAGTAAAATTAACTACCACAATTGAAATTTTAGTTTAATATTTGTACATACGAAACTAGTATAGGTTTATTCCGTAGTATTGTAAGATAAATATACTTTGAATGATGTAGAGAATTTATATTTCAAGTGTCAACAATGGCAGTGCAATCTCAGATATGAACATGAAATTTTATATTCATATATTGCTAATGATTTATTTAAGGAAATACGTATGACCTGGTTAATTATGAATGCAAATAGTTTTGAACAAGAAGTAACTCAATTGATTTTATAATCAATATAATTCTTTCTTAGCATGATGTAGAAAACAAATCAATCAAAATAATATATATTATTTTGAAGAAATACATATATAGAAATTGGTATTGAATCTTTATGGAAGCGCACCATAATTCTATTTTCATATACGTGACTGGACTTCCGCTATCAAATAAAATGGATTGATTTTTTATTTTCACACTGTTGTGATCATCGATAAGACTTGTCTCTAGCAATTCCATAAAATTACACTATAATAATCAATTTATTTACTACTATCTATAGAACAATGTTACATTTTATATTATGCACTTACAAACTAATCGTTTTTATTCAGACATATCTTTCAATATATATATAGACATACAATCATGATTTTTTTTTTCTGAGTGATTATGACTCACATATCATACGTAAAGCGACAAGTAATACAAACTGTTGTATTATCTACGTCTTAGAGTATATCTTAACACAACTAATCAAACATGGGAAAGTTATGCTCTATATACATCGGAGAGACAGATGCGTATTGTATACAAAATCTTACTGTAAAGAATATTACAACTTATTATATGGATAGAAATGTATGACAAATAAATGCATGGTACACAAAAGGAGACGATAATATGACATGAAAAAAAAAATAGCCGGTTTAAATTAACCAATTTTGAAACATTGTCTTCAACAAACTAGAATTTTATTTTTATAAATGTATAACTAGTTTGAATAGTTTAAGATAGTACTATTTGCTGTATAATTTTTATAGACCAGAATTTAATTAAAAATCTAGAATCGATGATTGATATATTTGTTAACAAATTTTTTCTGTAATTCAAAATAATCGTGATTACTTCCAAATTGTTCTTTTGTTGATGAATAATAATTAGGATTTTGTATATGTCCTAATTCATATACTGTCAGAGACAAAAAATTGTCTATTTCAAATTCGCAAGGGTATAATAGTTTGAAATTTTTTTGATAATATTTACTAATACGAATTGCAGTACGACCAAGTGTTGTTAAATTATTTGTAAGATTGTAACAAATAAATGTTCCTGTATTTAATGCACGTATACATGCCCATGTAGATAATACTTTTTCACCATTAAAACACATTTGAATTATATCTAAATCAAAAGCCATTAAATATGTTTCAATAGATGTTATACTTGGATGGTAAATAAATTGTAACGTGAGTTTTTTCCGTGTATGTGATTCATTCATTATTTCGAATATAGTAGAACCTAAAGTTATTTCTAATTCGTATACACGTCGATTCGATAAAACTCTTTGTTTAACAAAATAGTAATCACATAAATTTCCATATATGTTAGACTACAAAAAAAATTAAAGGAAAATAAACTGAAATTTTAGAATTTTATACTAATATATTGATGAAGTGTTTGAAATTTTGTCCAATATAAAAAAAATCAAGATCAGAATTAATAAATTGCGTAGTATTTCGTAAACAACACGTAAGAACTGAACCACCAGCCAAAACAAAATGGTTAAAATCTATGAATGGTGAAATCTTATCAAAACGAAATCGATTGATAAGATTGTTTTTAAAATCTTCAAGAGTTTCAACAAATTCTGGACGTGTTGGTGAATCGTTGCTGTAAACCTTGTAAAAATTTTTTTCATGAATCGATAACGAATCTGGTCGTAACACAACTAACAAAAGAAACTGACAATTAGCAATGGTTACTTATATATATAATAATTTAAACAGCTTCAATTATATTAAAGGAGAAAGTTTCTTATGTATTAGTGAAGTAGATTTAGTGTTGAAATACTTTGTGTATACAGATAAAAAGCTTCAGAAAAACTTTAGGAAACTAGGATGGAAAATTGAAATATGTAATGAAAATAATCGATATGTTTTATGCAACAGATTAATAAATGGTTTCATATATATACATGTTCTACTCAAAACTAAAATTCAGTTAAATTTAAAATTTGTCCACAACATATATATATTATATTACTGTAAATGCACAAAAATTTAATGTGAATTTTTGCAGAAATGAACAATGAATGAATGAAATTGTTGGGAAACCTGTTACAGTTTTACTATTTTTTAACAGCATTTCCCTCAGAGTGGAGCATTTTCTTGTATGTGCTACAATTGAAATAATATTCAAAACTACTGATGTGTAGGAACTTTTAGTTGACATATGCAAGAATAGTTTATTTATTTATGGTATAATGGTAATGTGCGAAAACATATAATCAGAAAAAAATAAATGTTTGACTTAATGTAAAATTGTTAGAAGGGATAATTACATCAAATAGACGATGTTATTTATGTGTAAAAATTAACCTCAGCAATGAAATATACAATAATAAGTAATTATTGTTTAGTAGTAGATATTATAAAAACTTACAAGATACGTCGAAAATATCTACAAGAGTATATTTTGGTTGATAAACAAAGGGTGAATAAGAAAATAATCTTGTGTATAAATGAAATAGATCCGTGCAATGGTAAGCCCAAACTTTATTTAACGTATGGACATCGAATGAACGTGGTAAAATGTAAGGCCACGAGATAGTTCCGTTTTTCACAGATACACGATGTTCTTCTTGAATATATCGTGTACTATACTTTATAAAACGATCGAATAAATTTTTTAAATTAAGATGAGGTGATGATCTCAATATGGTAGCAAAACTTTGTTCATTTATACATAGATAATCACTTAGAACATAGCTGACTTTCAATTGATGCTGACAAGTCAGATAGTAATTGATAAGATCATGCATTATTGTTGATGGTAACTCTGAATAATTCATTAATTCAAATGATGATAATTAGGTTTCAAAAATTGTGGAAAACCAATAAAAAGTTATACCAATTTGACAAACAAAAATAGGTGCAAAATAATATGAAAGAATGCGCCAGTTACATTGTACAACAAAAAATAGTTTATTAAATGATAAACACTCAAATATATTCATAAGGTGATAAATTTTCTTTTATTTTTATAACTTTCATCAAATTTTTTTTGATAATGATTAGATGGTATTGAGATCATATTTCGTATAGAATTAAATTCTTTAAATATTTAAAACGATTATACATCTATAGAGGTTGTTTTCCAATAATAGTTTCACTTCTATTGAAGATCTCGTCCAATTGTGTTTTTTTTCGTATTGAGTAATAATAACCAATGATTTCTGAACAAGGATGGTGATTTTGTACTGTGTACGTTCAAATTTTTGTTTACGCCATTGAAAAGAAATTCTTTCTAAATATTACTTCATCAGATAATGTTAAAATTATATTAATTTCAAAATAGATGAAATTAAAGTTATGTATTTACATAAATTCGTTATTAAAAAAAAACAGATATTACAACTAATTGAACCAAAGATGACATTTTTAACAAATTATGAAAACTTGAAAATAGGTTCGAAATAGATTGGTACTTATATGAAAGTTAGAGACGAAGTCAAAGAATATTTTCATCATTTTTAATTTGATTATATCGACATTCAATTTGATTTATAATTCCAGAATTTATATCAAATACACATCGAACACGAGAAGAAATAAATTTTCATTTTTTTACAAATCAAACAAATCGATTTGATTAATATGGGAACAGTCATTTTGGACATCGACACATTGAAGAAGAAGAGTACGCGGTACAATTAAAACTAAAATTATACTCTACAAACAAAAAAAAATATTGCACTATCTTCATCTTATTATTTCGCCCTAATCATCTTTTCATCCTTATTCAAATTTTTTAAAACATAAACGAATAGGATATATTACTGATTAATATATCCATCAAAGTCGTATTTATGAAACATGATCAACAATATCTGATCAATTTCGATTGAATAAAACAGAAGATAGTAAAAAAAGAAATTAACAAACGTGGCGCAAAACAGTATGATTAACTAAAACAAAAGAAAATATGACAACAAAAAAACAAATAAATGAAAAGTCAATGGTTGTGAAAGGTGTCAACGGAAGTTTAGAATGGGTTATATATGTTGGTAAATGGAATCACAAAGATCTATTTCAAAGTAGTCACGAATGGTTATTCGGTATGCGATAAAAAATACAAAAAAACATTAGAAATGATAATAATTTAAATTATTTAGACGACAAAGGTCGAGAAAGAGCCGGCACAATCTTTATCGACAAATTATACGTGGACATCAGACATATAATCATAGATACAAGACCAAATCGACCTTACTTCATCTGGAAAGATGTAACCTGATTAATCAGAAACACATGAGAAAAATTTATCCATGTTTTGTTCTAGAAAAAGATATAATAGCAATAGCACAAACAAAAACTTTTATTTTGGTTATATTATTTTTTCGAACTCAGACAACGTGGTTGTGACTTTTAGCATTTAAATAAATGGATCATACGACAGAACAGAAAATAAAAACACTTAGTATTCGGCAATAATGAAAAAAAAGAAATCGAAGTTAATTGAAGTGTCCGTAAAATGAAAAAAAAGAATCATATGCGAAATAATTGAAGTTATACAAAAAGAAACAGTCCAATATACAGAATAATAAAGGAGTGAACAGTGAAGAACACCAGTATAAGATTTTCTATGTCTAAAACGTCATCTCAAAAGAATCTTGAAGTTTATACTCTGAAAATTTACACCTCCTATAAGATTGACTCTGACAGACGGTACTTCTTGATTCACAGACCTTCAAACACCATCCAAAAGACTAACACACATTCTTCAAATACAATCACAATACGTAGATGATTAAGATATCATTACAATATATCAACGATTTCATCTTTATAGTTGCAAAGCGTTACATAAACCTTTAGCAACAAATACATGGGAAAACAAATTGAACGAGATTCTCACTTGATTATTAATAACTGCTACATCGTGTTTCACATTTTTAATCCCGCAAGGGATTGCGCTAACAGCTTTTT